GGGATGCAGCCAGAGGACGGCTCCGTCCCGTCCTGCCTCTGCTTCTGCCTCGGGTCTCATTGAAGGGCGAAGCAGCCGCCAGGAAAGCACTCAAGGCAGCGCCGAGGAGCGGGAGCGGAGGTGCCCGCAGGTCCGTGCAGAGCCAGCCGCCGCTGGGCCAAGAGCAGCAGGAGCTGGTCGTGGGGCACCGTGCCAGGGCCTTGCCAGATGGGCCGGCTGGCTCCCAGGCCCCTGCCATGCCCCCCGCGTCCCAGGCTCCTTGGTGACGGGCGCCAAGGCTGCAGCTGCTGTGACTGTGGGCAGGGAGCTGTCCTCCAGCCCCTCCAGCAGGCTCCCATGCCCCTGCCCCATAGCTGCCGCCCACCCCCCGTCCTGTCCCACAGGAGTTGTTGAGAGCTGGAAGATTTTTCTCATTTTGAGCTGGCAAAAAGTTGAGATCCTCCCAATTTCTGCAAACCAGACTGGTGGCTCCAGGCTGTAGCAATGCTGCCTGTGCTACAGGCTAATCAAGCACTTCCCCGGGTCTGCTGCAAACAGATGCTGTTTCCAAACAACCGCTCGGGGCTACGGCGCTGGGAGCCTTTTCCATCAGCAAACTCGGAGAGTTTCCAAGTGAGGAGCTGCTCAGGGCCAGCACTGCCCCGAGCACTCGGGGTCCCAGGCATGCGGGCTTCTGACAGAAAAGCTCTGTGCCAACATCTGGGGGGGTCCAAGTCCTCCAGCTGCTTCCTAAGAGGCAAATGCTCCCACAAGGAGCTGGAGCCCCCAGCTAGAGACCCCAGACATGGCTGCTCCTGCATCCAGCCTGACCTAGTTGCAGAGCTGATCCATGCTCGCAGAGCCCTGCCACTTAGCCTGGCTTGGATGAAGCGGTTCCCTTGCAGCCTCACCCCCTTGCAGTTGAATCTGTGTGGGAAAAGCTGCCTGACCTTCCCTCCAGCTGAGCCCTAGCACACATGACCCCTCCCCACACCCGGTCCTGCTGCAGCTCCTTGACCACCAATGCCCCAGGCCGAGGGCAAGGCCAAGGGTCAGGTTTGTGTAGGAGCTGCTGGCAGCAATGGGAAGAGGGTAGAGCTGGGGCACCTAAAAGATCTGCCACATTTGCTCCCATCCGTGGGGCTGGGATACCCCCCTGACTTCACAAGTTCAGAAGATGCAGGTGGCTTTGTCCCTATGGTTGTCCTCAGGTTTGCGGGGAAATCGTGATGTCCCTGTGTGCACAGCATGGGGCTTGTGGGAGTCAGGAGCCTCCTAGGCTGGGTATAGCCCAGAGGGGTTTTTGGGGACACCGATCACAGGTCATTACCTTCAGCGTGTGCCTGTGGTTCTGGAGCGTTTGAGGGATGGTTTCACTACTGCCATGGCCCGATTAACACCCATTGCCAGGCAAACAGGCAGAGAGGAAGGATGATGTGGGGAGTAGGGTGGTAAGGGGATTTGGATGGGCAGGAAGCAGAGCAAGCTACAGGCTCCTTGGCCTTGCTGGGCAGGTGTTTAGTGGAACGGGAGAGGCGCGGGCAGCACGAGGACTGCTGCAGATGGGAGAGGTCTGGAACGACAGGTGTACCAGCCCCAACAACGACTTGTCTATCCCAGCACCATGGGGCGGCAAACAGTGCTGAGATCCAGGTGTGCGCCAGCTCAGTGCAGAGAACCCGGGAACCATGCACAGCAGTGAGATGCAGGCAAATCCTCCGGGACAAGGAAGGCTCTGTCCAAGGGAAGACCCATGCCTGTAGGTGCAGGGGCACTGCCTCTAGGCACCCTGGGCCAGGGTGACCAGGGGCAGCCAGCTGACTGCCCTGGGGCTGCCTGGGCTGAAGGGCCATTGCAAGGTGCTCAGTTAATGCCATGGCCTAGCTTGGTTTTGGGTAGGGCCTGGCATCTTCTCCTTGCTGTGGAAACCAGGGTCCTGACTGACTTCCCCAACCAAGGTCTGCTTGGGGCCTGGTGTGGGCTGTGCTCCTACTAGGGCTGGTGGGCTGCCCAGGCCAAGGCAGAGGGAGGGCACCTTGCAGTGGGGGAGCAGCCAGCTGGGGTGAGGGCAGTGGCTACCTGGGTAGGAGGGGCAGTGCTGGGAGGTTGAGCTGGTGGTGGGGTGGGTCCTCAGCTGATCACCCAGCAACACCCCCCCAGGCTCTGGTCCTGTGGCCCCAGCGCTGCCTTCATCCTACTCCTCCTCAGGGCTGGCACCTGTCCTGGCTGCTGTGCAGGTATTCATGGTGCTGATGCTGGTGCTGGTGCTGGTGCTGGGCCTGGGGGGTGCCTGACTTGGCTCTGCTCCTGCCACGTTCACAGGCTTATCCAAGAGCTCCAGGTTTTGGCTCTCAGCCCCACAGAGGGCACCCCACCTAGCTCCTCCCTCTTCTGCACAGGCTGTGGTAGGACAAAGTGGGCATGGATGCAGCTCCCATGCCCTGCGCCTCACCCTGCCTGAACCCGCTCTGCCCTTGGCTTGAGGAAGTGAGGAGGGACCTCATGGCAGCCCTTCACACTCTATGCTGGAAGAGCTGCCAGAGCACCCATGTCCCCCACTGCCCAGGCACCAAGTGCCCTGCCCAGCTCCCTGCAGGCTGCGGCTGCATGCCCCTGTACCTCTGCTGCTGCTGCTACCCCCATGGCTCTGGTCCAATCAAGGGGGGGGGGGCAGGGGGAGGCTCAGGAAACTTGTGGTCTCTGAAGGATGCCCCGAGCTGGCTGTGCCCCTTGCCTACCACCCCAGCTGCCCACAACAAATGGACCCATTCACCCCCCCTGCTTCACCCCAGAGCCTCAGCTTGAAGCACAGGTCCTGGCAGTGCAGCCACTTAAGCTGGTGCCAACAAGGAGGTGAATCCCTTGCCTCTGGCTGAGGCCCAGGGGTGTCACCAGCACAGAGTTGCCTGCCCAGCACCCGGCCCCTGCACATGGATGCATGCGGTCATGCAGGCAGGGAGGGAAGAAAAGAGATGTATGCACACAGGCACGTGCACAAGCATATGCACGTGGTTCTGCAGATGCATTTGGTCATGCAGAGATGTGTGTGCACATGCATGCACACATCAAGGAGCCATGCCTTGGCCTGTGCTCAAGGCCCACTCAGGAATGCACAACCATTCACATACAGGTTTCCCCTCTGTGCATTTGCACGCATGCATGCACACACACACGCACGGCTGCAGAGATATCTTCAGCCACACTCCAGCATGCGCCCAGATGGGCAGAGACACAATCCAGCCCCAGTGATGGCATCTTGCTCCTGGCTGACCATCTGCCAATTGCAGCAGAGCAGAGGCCTGGGCCCAGGGTGACTCCTGGTTGGGGGCTGGGTATGTTGCAGGCAAGCTCTGTCCTTTCCAAGGCAGTGCACACAGATGCACACACAAGCACCCTGGCAGTCCCATGTTCTCACACACCCATGGGCTTGGGTGCACCCACAAGTGCACAAATGTAGACACATGCACTCACACGGTACACGCTGTCCATCCCATAGGCACAGAGACATGTCCCCATCCCTGGACACATACAAACGCACACAGGCAATTACTCCGTGCGCACTAACAAGCACATGCACACTGACACGTGCTGATATGGCCGCGAGCCTGGCTTGCTGGACAGAACCCAGGAGAGCAAAGCAAAAAGCCTTCTGTCAGCAGGCTGCCAGCGCCACCCCAACCACCCAACAGGATCAGCCTCCAGGAAAGCCCATGGCAAACAGAGCTGCCTGCCCAGCCACGGGACCGCAGCGAGGGGCTCTGGGGACTGGGGGTAGTTTCTGCCCTGGAGGCCTGGCTCAGTGACAGCGGGGCTCACGAGCCCCAGGGAGAACATGTGCACGGCTCAGCACATGTAAGTGTGATGTGGGTGTGAGGGCACAGTGGTGCACATGCCAGGCTGAGGCTGGTCAGGGAGGAACGCCTGGCCCTGGTCTCAGCTGCTGCAGGTCACATCCATCCGGGCCCAGCCTTGAGGAGCCCCTGGCTCAGACACACCTATGTCAGGGCCTTGGGTCCGGCAGGCTGATGCTGGGGAGCACCAGGCCACAGCAAACAGAGAGCAGAACCGCTTGGAGGGCTGTCCCAGGTGTCACGGTGGGTCCCTGAGATGCAGCATGTTTTCCCCCAGCGGCCCAGCCCTGCCATCGCCCCATAATCAGGATGGGCCTGGCCTGAAACTGGCAGCTCTGCTCCAGTTTGGACGGGCAGTGCAGGTGTGTGTGCATCTCCTCCATTCTCTCTCTCATGTGCGCACATGCACACACACACGGAGGCGTGTATATGCATGCAGAGAAAGAGAGAGAGAGAGAAATCACTTCATCAGCACCCATGGGGGCACCCTACCAGGAAGCCCAGTGTGCACCAGCTGCCTCTGGGAGCCCAGTTCTTGACACCCCTCTGTGGGTCCCAAGCCCTGGCTACCCTGTCTCCTGGAGTTGCTCTCCCTGGGGGTCCTGCCCCCACAGCAGGTAGCCAGCTAGAAGCAGCCCCCCACCCCTATTATGGAAGCTAGCAGTGAGCCTGCCAGGTCAGGGCTCGGGGAGCTGGGTCAAGGCTGGGGGATCTAGCTCGGTCTGTGCTGCCTCCTCCTGGCAGAAATGCCCCCCATGCACCCCAGCCGGGAGAGGAGCAGTCCAGCATCCCCCCACACTGTGCAGCCAGTGCCAGAAGCACTGTGCAGAGCCTGCCCCAGATCACCCGGCTGCAGCCTGATGAATGCTGCGATCCCCAGGCGACCGCGGCCGATTTCCTGCTAACGACACTTTGAAGAGGCTCATTAATCTGTGCAGCACGGCGCAGCACCGGAGCCGTCACACTGGCCTCCCCCGCACGGCGGGCTGCGGCACGGCCTAGAGGCTGGAGCAGCATGTCTCTATTTTTCATGACAGCCTGGCTCAGCCCTGCCCCCAGGCCCCTGGGACTCAAGGAAAGGCCACATTGCTGGATCTCTGCCATGGCAGGGAGCCACAGGCTGGCTTCGCTCAGAAACAGCCTGTGCCATGCTTTGGCTGACAGATGCCTCCCCATGCCAATGCAGCATGATACATGGGAGCCACAGGGTGGGCACAGGCCATGTGGTTGCCCCAGGCTGGGCCCAGAACATCGTCCCCGCTGCACAGGGGAAACAGAGGCACAGAGGGTCCCCAGGGAGTCAGTGAGAAAGTCACAGGGCTAGGCAGTTCATTGTCCACTAGGCCTGGCACAGCCAGTGTGTGCAGGGAGGTGCTGCAGCACAGGTCAGGAGGGCAGGTACGGGTGGGGAGCACAACAGGAGCGATGTGATGGGGGTTGTTCCCCGCAGCACATATGAGAATTGATACATTTCCCCTCTTTTTCTGTGTGACTGTGCATACAAGTGTGCCCTTGCCAGCATGCGTATGAGCTCCAGGATATAGAGCATGTGTGTGCGTGTGTGTGACTGTGCACCAGAGCATTCAGCGCATGTGCTTGGACATCCACATGCACACCATGCTGGGTAGGCATGCACTGGGGGATAGAGTATGCTTGTGTGTGCGCACAGCACTGGTGCACAAGGTGTGTGCACAACTGTCTGTGGCAGGAAGGGTGTGTGTGTATGCCCGCACACATATGTGTGCTGACAAGATTCTTTGGGTAGATGTGATATCTTTTATTAGACCAGCTACATTTGGTCTAACACATATGTGTGCTGGCACTGCATATGGAGGCCGGGCCAGGATGGAGCGTGTGTGTGTGTTTGCACATGTGTGTGTGTGTGCTGGCCTTGCAGTCTGTGTAGGCCAGGGGTGGGCAAAATGCGGCCTGGGGGCCGGATGCGGCCCACCAGGCCATTCTCTCTGGCCCACGGGGCCCCTAAAAAATGTAGAAAATTAATACTTATCTGCCCTGGGCTGCCTTTCATGCGGCCCTCGATGGCTTGCCAAAACTCAGTAAGCGGCCCTCTGCCCAAAATAATTGCCCGCCCCTGGTGTAGGCTGTGCCACGGCATAGTGTGTGTGCACATGCAGATGTATGTGTGTGCTGGCTCTGCAGTGTATGTAGACTGTGCAAGGGTATAGTGAGTGTGTGAATGTGGCAGGGTGTGTGTGTAGTGCATGCGCACGTATATGTATGTGTGTGCTGGGATTGCTATGCATCCAGGCAGCGGCAAGGTGAGGATGGCCAGGTAGGGAGTAAGTGGCCGTGCTGGGGCTGGGTCCCCCTCTCCCTAGCCACTGCCTGCTCCCCGAGGCAGGTCACCCTCTGTCCTCTTCTCTGTGGGCAGCAGACCAGGAATAGCTCGCCTGGCCCAGGGGCTGCAGCCTGGTTCCACAGGGACTTGCCTGATCCCGCTGCTCCTCCGGCCTCTGGCCCCATCCAGAACACACCCTGCGATGGCTCCCCTCCCCCCGCCCCCATGCCCCTGAACCCTCCCCGTGGCTCCAGTTTCTCCAGTGCAAAGTTCAGGTGCTACCAGCTCCCATAAGCCAAGCCCAGGCGTCTGCGTGAATGCAGCAGGGAGGGAGCGGGGTCCGGCCGCCATGTGGGGTCAGTCCCCCCCACACTCCCGGTGAGCAGGCAGCGGGCATGGGTCGGGTGCAGGGGGCTACGGGGCTGGAGCCGACCCTGTGGGCACCGGAGCCAGGGCTGGGGCTAGGACTCAGGCTCCCTTTCTGGGGTCAGGACCCTGTGTCAGCACAGCGGAGCGCCAGTATCAGCAGCACTGCTTAGCCCAAGCCCCCTCCTCTCTCCTCCCAGCACCCCATAGCCTGTCTCATTCCCCCTTTGCTCTCCCAGCAGGTCCCTGCCAGGCGCCCCAGGCCTGGTCCTGCCCTGTTGCTTGTGTCGAGTGGACTTTGCCCCCCACCAAACTGGCTCAGCCCCCCTACACGGGGGCTGTCCCTGGGCCCAGCTCCTGGCTCAAGCCTCACGTGCTGGGGAGAGCCTTGGCACCAGAAGATGGGGAAAGGGCTCCCACTGCCCACAGCAGGATCAGCTCTTCACAGGCGGGCGAAGGACCCTGTGGAGTTGGGGTGGGGGGCACAGCCCTGGGAAGGGTCAGGCCTCCTGGCACAGGCTGGGCACTGCACATGGAGCAGGGCTTTCTGGGTGGCAGGGAGCTCAACACACGGGACACAATCGCCATCATGCATGTACCTGTGGAATGGCACAGCCACGTGACAGTGACGCGTGTGCACGCGGCACCTGCAGAATCCACACGTGACTTGTGGGACCTCAGGAATATCTGGAGGGTCCTGGCTACGGCAGTCAGAGGCAGGACAGCAGCCCCAGGAGGCAGACCTGCTGGCTGGGGTCTCGGGCAGGTGGAGCTGCAGCACTTCTGCTACCGGCACTGGAGCGAGCTGGGCTGGAGCCGGCGTTCCAGGAGCCAGCAGACCTAGGGCTGGGGACCACAGCTCCTAGCTGTAGCCACTGCTGAGCCTCCCCTGTATCTTGGAGCTGGGGGCACTAATGCCCTCAGTGCTGTGGGGGCTGGACCCAGGGGCAATGGGGCCACTGCTCCAGCCTCCGGGCAGCAGGACGCTGGGGGCAAGAGGCTGCTTTGTCCTCACAAGCCCATAGGGTCAAAGCTCCTCCTGTCTCTGGATGGTGGGTGGGTGTCTGTGGCCAGCTGGGCATCTGCTGGTCCCACCACATGGCCCTGCCCCTGCCAGCCCTTGGCAGGGGCCATTGACACCAGACAGACAGATCTGCCAGCCCTGCCCCATCCTGCTCTCACTTGCTGCCTCTCTCCTGCCAGCTCCCGCAGAGCTAGGGGGAGCCAACCCACGGTATGTGTGCCTGGAACTAGCTGAGCTGAGCTGAGCTGAGCTGTGGGGCACAGGGAGCGGGGCAAGGAGGCGGCAGGGGGCCTGAGCTGGAGTCTGAGTTTCTGTTCCCCCTGCCCAGCAGGCAAGGCCATGCCCAGCCCTTTGGATGGGGACAGCAGCCCCGGCAGCAGCAGCTCCTGCACGCTGAGCCTCGGGACGGGCGAGTGGGAGCCGGAGGACCCGGAGGCTGAGCAGAAAGTCTGTGTCGTGTGTGGGGACCAGGCCACTGGCTTCCACTTTCACGCCATGACCTGTGAGGGCTGCAAGGGCTTCTTCAGGTGAGAGCAGGGGGGCCACAGCACCCACCCTGACCCCAGGGCCAGCCTGCAGGTGTACCAGGTCCAGTGCTGCCCACTGCTGCTGAAGCAGGGACAAGCACTGCCCAGGAGCCCCCCGGGCACCTGTCCTGCACAGCCAGCTGAGCTGGGTGTGTGCATGGAACGTGGGGGCATGTGATGATGCACATGCATGTGTGGGTGTGCACAGTGAGGCACGTGAGTACACATGGGAAGGGGGGCATCTGCACATGCATGTTTCGATGCTCTGTGGTGCAGCTCCCCTATGGCTCAGTGTGAGGCTGGGGTTAGTGCATGTGTGCTGGGCCCAGCTCCCAGTGGCTGGGCCTCACTGCCCTGCGGGCCTGAGCTTCCAGACCAGCACTGTGGCCACCACCACCCTTCACTGCAGGCTCAGCTGAACCCAGCTTCCAGTGGACTGCAGCCCTCCCCTGCAGCTGGGCTGGTGCTAGCACTGGCGTGCCGCAGTGCTCAGCCCACTGCTGCTCTGGCCGATAGCTGGCAGGGTTATGTTGCACCATCCGTGGAGCTGCCAGGGCTGCTGGCTGCCCCCAGGGCAACACCCCAGGACAGAGTGGCCTCTGCAGAGCAACTCCTCCTAGACGGGGTGGAGATCCCAGACACAGCCCGACCCACCAGGACTTGCAGCTGGTGCCAACTGCGAGGGGAGTGCATGCTCAGCCATCCCCTTCCTGCTTGCAGCCACTCCTGCCCCTTGCTGAGCAGGGCCCTTGAGCCCCAGGCCCCCTGTGTGCCCTGGGAGGCCCCCAGCCCCTGGCCAGGGCAGTGAGTCAGTCAAGACAGGGCGTTCTAGAGGCTGTTCGGCACCCACACTGCATTATAGGAAGGATGTGGGGAGACTGCCTGACTGGGACCCAAACAGCCCCCCTGGAAGCAGCAGTCAGGCAGCCCTGCTCCAGCCCCCTGCATGGTGAAACGCTGCACCTGGGCCAGCATCAGCCATGCCCGAGGTGCCCTGGGGCTGCCACCACTGTCCTTGCACTGCCTCCTGCCTGGTGTACAGGCACAGGTATGCATGGCAGCGCCCATGTGCACGTGTGTGTGCACGTGTGTGCAAGTCGTGCAAGTGCATGTCTTCTGTTTCTCTAGTGCACGTGTGTGTCTGCACAATGGGGGTGTTGGGCTCCCCAGTGCACATATGTATGTGTGCAAGGCGGGAACCAGCTGCAGGAGAACTTAAAGATCCCCAGATGTGAGTTGAGTGCAGGGCCACCCACCCATCTCTGAGCCCCGCACCCAGTGCTGCTGGGATCCCTCGGGGGCTGCATGGTGCCCAGTTCCAGATCCAGCCCTGCCCTCTCTCTTGCAGGCGATCGATGAGTAAGGGCGTCCACTTCACCTGTCCCTTCGCCCGCAGCTGCACCATCACCAAGGCCAAGCGCCGGCAGTGCCAGGCCTGCCGCCTCCAGAAGTGCTTGGCCGCCGGCATGCGGAAAGACAGTAAGGCAGAGCCCCAAACCTGCCCTCCTGGGGCTGGACCTCACCCCCTCTTTCAACCCATACCCCACAGCCGGAGGCACTAGGCCCCAGTGCTGGTCTCAGCTAATGGTGGGGATAGCCAGGTATCAGACCAGGATGCCCCAGCATCACGGTGCATGTTGTGGCTGTGCCTGGCCACCACCCTCTGGCCCTCAGCACCCCTGCTGGTGAGGGTGGGAGGAGGGTCTTGTGGCAGGAGTAGCCCGGGTGCCCATGCACCCATGTCGGGGCAGCACTAGCCGGCTGGGGCTCCCCACGGTGCAGCCAAGGTCTCCAACTGGCAGCAAACAGACATCCTGGCAGCTCTGTAATGGCCTCCCAATAGACTGCGTCTAGGCCTGGAGCCAGCAGGGGCTGGCACATGCCCAGGGCCTGGGCCTGGGTTCCCCCACCCCCAGTTACGGAGGAGGTGGCAGTGTGAGGATGGAGAGCACAGGCTCCTTATATGGAGCAGCCCAGTGCTGAGCCAGTGCTCCCAGCGGGGCGGGCCACAGTGCCAGGCAGCACTGGGGCCCCCAGCTCCAACACCTCTCCCTGGCACCACCTGTGCCCTGGAAACCCAGCACGCCAGGCCAGCTCCCACTCCTGCCCCCTGGAAATGCAGAGGGCCCAGAGGCCCTGCACCTCCCTGGGGACTCTTGGCACTGCCCACGTGCTGCCATGCAGCGGGCAGCCCCATGGCAGGATGTCAGCGCTGGGAAGAAAACCCAGGAGTCCTAGGCCCCAGCTCTACCCACTAGACCCACTTTCTGGCCTCAGGACTGACCAGGAGCCGGGACTCATGCCAGCCAGCTGTGGGACACAGTAGGTCAAAGGGGTAGCGTGCAGGAGGCTGAGAACCAGAACGGCTGGGTTCAGATCCTGGCATTAGGATGTGGGGTACGGGGAGCACTGCGAGGGTTGGCAGGGAGTCAGGACACCTGAGCTTTCCTCCTGACGAACCCAGATGTCCTGGTTCTTGGCCTTTCCTGAGACCCCACACGTCTCCTGGAGCTGGGACCACGTGCAAGATTTGGGTGATCCCCGGATTTCAGGAGACCTGGTGCAAGTTTCAGCTCGGTCACGGAGCTGGGACCAGACCCCAGGAGGCCCCTGCATTCCTCTGGGCAGAGCGGCTGCTCAAGCGTGGGTGGGCAGGGCGTCCTGCTGGGCATCTGGGCTCTGGGGGCTCCAGCTGATGAGGGCAGGGGTGCAGGGGTCATGGGGGCCATGCCGGGGCTGCCCCCTCAGCCTGGGCTCTGGTCTGGCTGGCAGTGATCCTGTCGGAGGAGGCCCTGCAGGCGCGCCGGGCCCTGCGGTGGCAGCGGCAGCAGGAGCGGAAGCTGGCAGGGCTCACGGCAGAGCAGGAGCAGCTCATTGCTATCCTCATCGAGGCGCACACCCGCAACTTTGACTCCAGCTTCTCCCAGTTTCAGCACTACCAGGTGGGCCCCCCCACAAGGAATCAGCAATGAGGGGGCAGGCAGGCCAGAGTGTCTGCTGGGCAGTGATTGGCTGCCAGTGTCACACACCCAGATCTCTGCTCCCTAATTGCACAAGCGCTGCCTGGTGTGACGTGCTGCACAATGTGAAGTCGACGCCAGCGCAGCCCCGTGACTTTCCCCGTCCCTGCCTGCCCTGACTTCCCCTCCGCCCTTGACACCACAGACACCTCCCTGCCCTGCATCCACTGGCTCCTGTCCCGTGCTCTGCTGCTGCGCCCCAGGGGCTCACTGCCCCCATTTTACAGGTAGGGAAACCAAGGCACCAGCCAGGAAGGGCCTTGCCCACTGTTGCCAGACAAGTTTCTGGCAGAGCCAGGAATACAGCCCATGAGTCCCAAAGCCAGGCTTCACCGCAGGCATTGCTGCCCACACCAGGCCCCTTGCTCCAAGCCGGACTGAGGCTGCCCCAAGCCAGGCCATGCTGTGTGCTCACAAGCCTTGGCTCACCCCGGGCTGTCTCCCACTGAGGCTCTGTGCACAAGGACGCTGTTCTCTGAGGCTGCTTGGCCACCCTTCATAGCCAGAGCCACGCCACACCGTCCACGCCAGCTCCCCCCACCCATGCCTCTTGCAGGTGCCTCTGTTTACCCATTGAGGGGAGCCAGAAGGTGGCTGCCTGGGCTCAGTCCTGCCCAGCCCAACTCAGTCCCTCGGGAAGGGGCACTGAGGGAAAGGGCATAGAGAATTGTGCCCCCTGAGCCCTGGGGCCGATCCCCACAGGGCCAGAAGTGGCAGCTCCATATCATGAGCCAGGGCTGGGATGCTGTGTGTCTGCATGTCTGGCACCTGTCTTGAGGGGGGTCTCCCCCCAGGTCAGCCAAGGAGGAGGACTCCCCACCACACTCCAGACCAGAGGCATGTGGCTTGTGGCTGCAGTACTGTCCCGTTCGGGTTGGGTGGCTCTTGCGTGCATGAGCATGGTGGGCTCATCTGCACCCCTAGGCAATGTGCTTGTGGCGGCACACACAAGGGTGCCTTGCTCCAGCCCAGAGCCAGCTGCCCAAAGCTGCCTGTAGCACCAGGGCTTGAACTTGAGTCTCTCCCTTGCCAGCCTGCCGTGCGGTTGTACATCCACAGCCCGAGCCCTCGCAGCACCCCAGAGCCAGGGGCTCCTCACCATGCGCAGGGGCTGCCCGCTATGGAGAATGGGGCCACGCTGCCGTCCCCGGAAAGCCTGTCGGATGACGTGCTGCCTGATGTCTTCTCCATGCTGCCCCACTACGCTGACCTCAGCACCTTCATGATCCAGCAAGTGATCAAATTTGCCAAGGCGATCCCGGCCTTCAGGTCAGCACAGGCCCTGCACCACCTGACCGCTTGGCCACAGCCAGAGCATGGTGCCCGGCTCAGTTCTCCCATGCCCCTGTGCCCCGCTCCACCCAGGCCTTTCCTCCACTCTGCCACCTCCAGGGGCCCTGGTGTCCCCAACCCCACTTGGAGCAGCCACCTGCCTTGGCCCCTTCACGCTCCATCCCCGTCTCTCTCTTCTGGGCAGGAATCTGCCGATCTACGACCAGATCTCACTGCTCAAAGATGCCACCTTAGACATCTGCCAGATCCAGTTCAACACCGTCTTCAATGAGAAGGACAAGGCCTGGGAGTGCGGACACCACTGCTACACCATCCAGGACGGGGCCTTGGGTGAGCCGGGCACCCCCAAGGTGGGAGGAGATGGGGCTGGGCAGCATGGACACCGCGGGGCTCTCCTCCCACCCACGGCAGTGCCAGAGACCTGGGTCAGGTCAGTGAACATGGAGAGCCCTGCTGTCTCCTGCTCTGGGAGAAGCCCCCAGTCCCCGTCAACTGGGCCCTGATATAGTGATGGGCCTGTCCAGGGGCCAGCGAGACTGCCCTACCCAGCACCCGGGGGCACGGACACAGGATGGGCAGGGAGACCCTGGGCAGGAACCACCTCCCAGGGGTGAGGCAGTGCGTAGCGATGGGCCCTTCACCTGGCATGGGGCTCAGCCCAGCAGGTCCCTGCACTGCTGCATACGTGCTGTCAGTGGGATTTGGTTCGCAGTGAGACCTGTGTTGGTCGATGCCCTTACCCCCTCTCCTAGAACAGGTGCTGCACTTGCCCCTTGCCACTCAGCTCCACAGGACCCCTGCTCGGAGCATGCAGCCTCTGTCACCCTGGGGGCATGGGGGGCCCAGGCACACCCAGAGCCCCTGGATGCTGCAGCCCCATCACCCGCCACCTCTGCCCCCAGCCGGGTTCCAGCAGATCTACCTGGAGCCACTGCTCAAGTTTCACATCAGCCTGAAGAAACTGAAACTCCACGAGGCAGAGTACGTGCTGCTGCAGGCCATGGTCCTGTTCTCGCCTGGTGAGACGTCTCATTTCCCCTCCCTCCCTCCCTCCGTAGCCTGGCCCGGGTGGGACAAGGAGCTGAGCACCCCACTCAGCCCTGCTGCCTCCCACTACCCCATGTGGCTATGGGCTCAGGCGTGGGCCGCCACGGGGGGTGTTTTCACGGCCACCCACCCCCCTGTGCCCTCCTGCTGCTGGCATTAGCACCCTAGCTCCAGGGCTTGGTCCCTGCCCCAGAGCACGGGGCTCCCCAGCCCTATCCTGGCCCTTACAGAGGTGCGGTCCTCTGCTTCCAGACCACACCAGTGTCACGCAGCACGACTTCATCGACCAGCTCCAGGAGAAAGTGGCCCTCACGCTGAAGAGCTACATTGACCACCGGCACCCGCTGCCCGAGGGCCGGTGAGTGGGGACTGCCCTGGGGCTCACCCATGATCACCCTTGCTCCCGGGGTCCAGACATCAGCGGCATGTGGCTGACGAGGCCGCAGGGCATGCGCCTCCAGGGTGGTTGGACTGACACCCTGTGTCACTGCCTGGGGCAGGGATGGTGCGGGGGACTTGCCCTGCAGCTCCTCACCCCGTCAGGCCCAGCCGGCTCCCAATCCAGGGATGGCCGCTCAGCAGGGGGATTTCTGGCCCCACCAGGAAGTGTTAGCCTTACACCCCTACTGGGAAGCAGCCATGTCCAATGGGCAGAGCTGGGCAGCTGGAAGCCAAGACCACTGCACTCCACTCTCAGTGGGGAGTAGCGTCTAGTGGGGAGAGCTGGCAGACTTGGAGCCTGGGCTCGGGTGTGCGGCGCCATGGGGGTGGGAGGCGTGACAGCAGGATCTGCCCTGATTGCTCTTGTCCCACTGTCCTGGGCAGCCCCCACCCCTTCCTGTGCTGCAGCTTGCCCCTCTGCCCCAGCCCAGGCCCGGGGTGGCTGGAGCAGAGGGTGCTCAGGCCTGCTTCACGCTCCCAGGGCCACAGGAGAGCTGGAATCCACACTGTATCCCCCGTGCGGCAGACACCTGGCAGGCATCGCTCTGGCCCTGCCTGTCCAGGGGGCACCCCCTGGCCAATGGGGCAGGGGCCGCTGGGCACCTGCCTGCCCCCCAGGAGCACACGTCACTGCATCCTGCATGGAGAGGAGCTCTGCTGCACAGGCCAGACAGATGGGTGGGGAGGCTGGGCAGGGCCTGGGGTCCATGCCTGGGAGCAGCAGGGGCTGTGGCAGGGCAAGCTCACCCCAGGCCTTTCCCCAGGTTCCTCTATGCCAAGCTGCTGCTGCTGCTGACAGAGCTGCGGTCCCTGAAGGCAGAGCTCACGCGGCAGATCCTGCACATACAAGACCTGTCGTCCATGACACCGCTGCTCTCCGAGATCATCAGCTAGAGCCAGGGCTGGGACCAGCTGTTGACCTCCATCCACCCAGCCGGGACCCTGGGGGCAGGATCCCCCACTGTGACTTCCAGGACCACACGCTTCCCCCAGGAGCTCGCTGGGGCACAGCCAGGACCCTGAAGCGCTGAGTCTCATCACCCAGCCAACTGCGTTCCCTGAGCTCTGCAGTGCCCTCCTGGCCACTCTGCCAATCCCACACCCCTGGCTGGCAGAGGAAATACTATGACCACTAAGGTGGTTTTCCTACTGCGAGGGGAAAACCACTTTCTTGGCAGGGGGTAGTACCTTGACCGAGGTAAGGCATAGTCTCCCACTTCCCACTCCCAGTGGGAAGATCCTGGCTATACACTAATTTTATGGGAGACTGCTCCCTAGCTTACTCCTGCGGCCATATGACTGAGGGCGAGCGAAACTCAGGGGCATCTGAGCCCCAAGCCTCCAGGCTTGGGCCAGCACATAGCATACCCTTGAAAGGATTTGGAAGCATCTGAAGCCTCAGGCAGGGGTGGTGGATGCTTGCCGGTAGTAGGGCTACATTTGGTTCTTGAATGACTCACGGATCTGGAATTGATTTGGCTGATTTGACATGGAACACAAAAAGTTTTCCTTAAAAAAAAAAATCCCACCCTTGGCTCAGTCCCTGGGGACTAGGCCAAGCTAGGGATGTGGCCTCAGGGGGTGCAGCCAGCCTGTGACTGGGCAAGACCCCCTCTGCCCTGCCCACCCTGGTGGGGCCTGAGGCACAGCCTGTGCCAGGAGTGGGAGGCACAGCCTGAGGCGCAGCCTGTGCCAGGAGTGCCTAGGGCACTGTGCAGGACTCACCGGTCAGCTGCTGCTGGCTGTGGTGGCAGGGGCAGCAGGCTTCCTTGTCCTGTCTGTCACTGTTGCATTTTAGGAGCAAAATAAAGTCCCATTTATTTTTGCATTTTCTGCCTGCATCTGGCTGGCCTCAGCCTGGCCCTGCCCACCCCTAGAGCCCCCACAGCCTAGCCCTGCCTGCCCCTAGAGCCCCCCAGCCTAGCCCTGCCCATCCCTGGCTCTTTCATGTCAGGCCTCGTCTATCCCTAGCCCCCCTTTCCCACCCCCTGTACCTTCATCCCAGTCCTGCCCATCCCTATGCCGCCCTGGCCTGACCTTGTCCACCCTTCCCCTTCTATCCCAGCCCAGGTGCACTACACCTGCTGCAGGGCATGGGCAGGCAGCAAGCCTGGGGGTAGGGGCAGGATACCCCCCCAGGAACCTGCCTCACCCCCTCACCCAAGGCTGGTGGTCATCACCCCATGCTGAGGCAGGATGCCCCCCAACCCCTGCCAGAGCTGTATGGCTGGGAACAGCCTGGGGCCACCTCAGGGCATCCATGCCTCTGCCCTACTGCCTGTCCCCCTCCCCACCCCACATCCCACCCCCAGGACCTCCGTCTGCCTTCCCAACTACTCCATACCCCAAGCCATGTCCAGGGAGGGCAAGGGGCAAAGCACTTCCTTGGAGGGTCCCTGGGCATCACATTGCCCCACAGGGAGTGTGGAGGCAGAGGAAGGGAGCCCATGCCGCAGGGGTGCAGCCGCACAGTGGGCAAGGACACAGTTGTGTGGTGGCACGGCTGCTCATGCCTACAGCTGTGTGCACATCAGGCACTAGCCCCAGGGGAGTTGTGCCATGGCCCACGGGGGCTAGGCTCCCAGGTCCAGGCAGCTCCTGTGCAGGATCCACCAGTGCAGCCCTGTGGGCCAAACAGGACCCCCACTGGGAGCTGGCACCCTGCCCAGAAACAGGCATGTCCCTGGGGCCTGTGGAGAACACAGGAGATGGCACACATGAGAGCTGAGCCATGGCAGGGGGTGACAGCACAGCCTGAAGCCAAGGAAAGAACATAGCAGGTGCATCAGTAATGGCACGTGTGAGCATGCAGAGCAGCTGCAGGGTGTAGCATGGCCAGGAGCTGCACAGTGCCTGCATATCAGTCATTTCTCAACCAGCTGTGGGGAGCAGCCCTCAGGCACTAGCAGGTCCACGCTTCCTGCAGCTCCACAGGGCTGAGAATGGAGATGACATGTGCCCTGACAGGCCTAGGCCTGGCCCCACCTTGCCATGGTTCCTGCTGTGGCCCACAGGGGTAAAGTCCCAGCACCAGGTGACATCATGGACCTACAGAGGCATCTGTGCACAAGTTGGAGGCATGGATGTGCATGCATACATTACAGGTGCACATACACCTGCACGTACAGAAGTCTATGTGACATACATGTGTACAAACTGCACATACACACCCACACACATCAGCAGTGAGTAAACATGCATGTGATAGCAATGGAGCACGTGTCCTTGATGCAGTTTGTGGGCACCAAAATCTGTGTGCAGGTGCGAACAGGAGTTTATATGCATATGTGCAAAAGTATGTGCTCCCGAATACAAATATACATGAACATGCATGCATCAGTACCCATGTACGAGGATGAACATGTGGGAGTGCTTGGACACATGCATAACCATGTCTGTACAAATGAGCATGTCTGCAAACATGTACGAGTACAAAAGGGTATGTGCATGTGCTAGCATATGTACTAGGTGCTAAACATGCCAACTGCGCAAGCATACATGGATTTATATGTATGTGGGCAAGTGTGGGTAACCAAGCATGCTTTTTCATGTATGGTTGGGGATGTTGGAATGCACGTGTGGATGCAGCCTGGTGCATGCTCACAAGAGGGCTGGCGTGCATGCTGGTATACAAGCAGGTTTATGAGTGCATGGGGCCCTTCCTTGGACAGGTGCATGCCTCCAACTCCCGAGACAGTGCTCCCTGCACAACAGTGCTGCAGGTGAGGGGAGAGGCCAAATTACCAACTTCTATGCCTGCCCCAGGCTCATATCTGGAATCTGCCCCCACAGACCTGCAAGGAGCCAACAGTCCCCCATGCTGCTGCCTGCAGGCCAGGGGGGATTCCCTTTCCTTCCTGCCCCTGTGGGGACAGGGCTGGGTGCAGAGAGCAGTAGTGGCAATGGGAGGGAGAGAAGATGGGGAACAGCTGTGTGCCTGCTGCCCCACACCCTGCCAGACACGCAAGGAAAGGGCCCCCAGCCTTCCACACCTGCAGAATGCTGTGAACACACCACCAGCCAGCCCCTTGGGCACGGCTCACCTACAGCATGGAAACATGAGTGCATGGCCAGATGCCCTCAGTGCAAAAGGAATGAAAAGGGAGT